GCCTGGAGAGCAGATTGGAGGGGAGCCAGAGTGACTGTGGTGAGCCCTTTCGGGGACTCTGCAGGGCTCCAGGTCAGAGTGGGGCCCCTCTGCAGGTGGGGGGAGGGGCCGGCCTATGTGGACTCCTTTCTCACGTCTGGGCAGTGGCTGCAGAGGGAAATTCTTTCTTCCTCCAGCTCTCTGGTCTGTCTCTGCAGACATTCAGCAGTGTGGGTTTGGCCAGGCCAAGATTTCAAAGGAAAGCACAGGGTGGCACAGCTCCCGAGCCTGGGAGACCTGGCTCCTTCACCGGGAGTGTGTGTGTGCATGGTCAGTTTTGGGGGACCTCACAGGACAGGGCTTGGTTTTTGGAGGGCAGCTGAGCTCTCCTCCCCCACCCCGATGCCACTGCTGGGTTGGGCTGCTATGGGGATGTCCTTAGCCCCCAGGAAACAGGAGCCCCCGCACACCCCTCACGAGGAATCCTCATGAGCTCTGCTTTCCCCTTGGTGACATTGCCTGGTTGACGCTCTCCAAAATCTGTCACCAGGGCCTGCCCAGGAGTGCATGGAAGTCAGGGCCATCCACGCAGGGGGTGTCTGTCCTCTTGGGGAGAGGGATGGCTGTGTACACGTCGCTGGTGGAGGAAGAGCCACCTCAGGGGTCTCTCGTAGTCTTTACCGTCCTGGGGCGGCTCCTCCATGCCCAGTCTGGCCCTGCTCTGGGTGCCCCCTCCTGGTGGAATGGGCAGTACTGAGGTTAGCGTACTCTGGTGGTATGCTGGTCACGGCTCTTGGTGTTGAGAAATGTTAAGTCAGGGTCCAGCGTAGTGACGCCAGCACCCCATTTCGGAGTGCCACTTCGTGTCCTGGCTGCTCCACTTCTGATCCGGCTCCCTGCTAACGTGCCTGGGAAAGCAGCTGAAGATGGCTCAAGTACTTGGGCCCCTGCCACCTACGCAGGACCTGTATAGAGTTCCTGGCTCCAGGCTTTGGCCTGGACTAGCTTGGCCATTTGGGAAGTGATAAGGTAGATGGAAGATCTCTCTCTCTCTCTGTCATTCTGCCTTTCAAATAAATACAATAAATAAATCTTAAAAAGAAAGGGAGATGAAGTCGTGGAAGCTTCATTGAAACTCACTGCATCTCTGCAAGGTGGGTGTCATGGTCCTCATTTTAGAAACGGGGAAACCAAGGCCCGGGAATATTTGCTGAGTCATCTCCCCCACATAGGAATTTTAGCCAAAGGATACAGACTGGAGAGAGAACATTCTAGAATAGGAAGGAGGCTTTTTTTCTGAGTGATGGGATTCTCTTGTGATTTTCATTTCTTCTTTGGGAAATTGAAAAAAGTCAGGAGTGTGCATATATCACTCCACTTTTTTTTTTTTTTTTTTTTTTTTTTTTACAGGCAGAGTGGATAGAGAGAGAGAGAGAGAGAAAGGTCTTCCTTTGCCGTTGGTTCACCCTCCAATGGCCGCCATGGCTGGCATGCTGCGGCCGGCGCACCACGCCTATTCGAAGGCAGGAGCCAGGAGCCAGGTACTTCTCCTGGTCTCCCATGGGGTGCAGGGCCCAAGCACTTGGGCCATCCTCCACTACCTTCCCCAGGCCACAGCAGAGAGCTGGCCTGGAAGAGGGGCAACCGGGACAGAATCCGGTGCCCCAACTGGGGCTAGAACCTCGTGTGCCGGCGCCGCTAGGTGGAGGATTAGCCTAGTGAGCCACGGCGCCGGCCAATATATCACTCTACTTTTAAATGTGACAACTTGAATCTTATGTTGGCTTATAAAAATATAGATGCCTTTAAAAGCATTCAAGTAATGCAGAGAAGTCAAAAAAGAAAAAAAAGAAACTGTAGTCATCTTGAGTCTCAGCGTTTTGCAGCTGTGGCTGTTAATACGCGCACACAGTTCGTTGAGTGCACACACCTGTGTGAGTGCGTGTGCACGTGTATTTGCATGTGTGTGCACGTGGGTTTGCCTGGGAGCTCACAGAATGCAGTGCTGTCTCGTGACCCTTCTTCCACCCTCTGGGTCATGGGCAGCTCTCCTTGTGGAATGAACAGATCTAGACCGTGTTAAATGGCTGCACGGCGTTCCGTCTCCTGAACTCAATGAGCAGTGCCCTGCTGATGTCCATTTAAGTCGCTTCCATGTGCTCTCTTAAAACCAAGCTGACCTACGTTTCTAACAAGGAGAAATGAAACATCGGAGGGCAGGCGTAGGCCTCGCGGTTAGACGCTGGGTAGGATGCGCTTGTCCCACGTTGGAGCACCTTGGCTTCATCGTTGGCTCCAGCTCTTGAACCCCGGCTTTCCACAAAAGCAGACCCCAGAGGCGTGGTGGTGGCTCAAGTAACTGGGTCCCTGCACTCACACAGGAGATGGGGATGCAGCTCCTGGCTGCCGGCTGTGGCCTGGCCCAGCCCCAGCTGCTGCAGGCATTTGGGGAGTGAACCAGCGGACGGGAGCACTCTCTTTGCTATCTCTCCGTTGGTTTCTGTCTCTCAGTTCATTCATTAATTAGTTGAAAGCACAACCACCCAAAGTGCCTTGCAGTTTTGGGGTTGGGGAAGGGAGCTTCCCAGGATGGCCTCAGGGCGTGGTGACAGCAGCTGTGCCGTGGAGGAACCGTTCCCTTGTCGGGGAGCCCAGGTGAGGCTGTTTCCGGGAGGGACGGTCATGCTGAGAAGAGCCTGACTCTTCCAGGAATCCCAGAATCGGCTCAGCCTGGCTTCTGGACCCAGCCCCTGAGAGCCCCTTAGACAAGAGGTGGGGCAGGGACCCAGCCTTTCTAGCCACTTCCACGCACCAGGAGACCGGCCCAGGGCACACGCAAGGTGAACAAGGTGGGGAATGGCTGCTGGGCTCATCAGTGTGGAGACCCGGCCTGGCCTGGTAGGAAAAGCTGGGGCCCCAGGGGCAGACGGCGTGGGTTCTGACATTTATGGGGTGGGGGTGGGGGCACTTGTTCTCACGGCGCCGCTCTGCCCTCACCTGTAAGACAGGCGCAAGAGAGGCTTGTGCTGTGGCGTAGCGGGTAAAGCCACTGTCTGCAGTACCGGCATCCAGCATGGGCGCCGGTTCAAGTCCTGGCTGATCCACTTCTGGTCCAGCTCTGTGCTATGGCCTGGGAAAGCAGTGAAGGGTGGCCCAGATCCTTGGGCCCCTGCACCCACATGGGAGACCTGGAAGAAGCTCCTGGCTCCTGGCTTCAGATCGGCCCAGCTCCGGCCATTGCAGCCATTTGGTCAGCAGATAGGGGAGTCTCTCTGTGCCTCTACCTCTGCCTCTCTATAACTCAGCCTTTCAAATAAATAGATAAATCTTAAAAAAAAAAAAAAGGGCGGAAGAAGTACTTCCCAGCCCCTGTGAGGATGCCCAATCCTGCAGTGTGTGGGCACTAATAACATACACTGGTCTTTTAAAAATATTTTTAAAAATTAATTAGTTAATTTGGGGTGGGGAGAGATCTCATTTGCTGGTTCACTACCCCAGTGCCTGCAACATCTGGGGCTGGGTGGAAGCCAGGAGCTCAATCCAAGTCTCTCCCATAGGTGGCAGGGACCCAAGTACCTGAGCCATCACTGCTGCCTCCCAGGGCCTGGGGCTGGGAGCAGGAGCTGAGCGATTGAACCCAGGCAGGCACTGCAACAGGGGCTGTGGCGCCTTGACTGTACCTTGACCGCTAGGGCGAGCCGCCTGCCCCAGGCTGTTGGCCTCAGTGAAGCACCTGCCAAATGCCACCTGAGCCAGACACACTTCCTGCACACTGCGGGGACGGGGCTTGTTTCCAGAGTGGTTTGGACTTGAGACGGGCTTGTGGTTGTGCCTGGATCTTTGAACCAAAGCCAGGACTGCGGGTGACCAGGGCATGTGTATGTGCCTGTGTGTGTGTGTGCCTGTGTGTGCATGTGTGTGTATGTGTATGTGTGTGTGTGTATGAGGGGGAGGATTTAGGTTGTTACAGAGCACATAAGTGACTATGAGTGATGAGAAAGCTTGGAAGGTGGCATGGTTGTGGGTGGGAGGTGTCCCCTTGATTAGAGGTCGGAGGGGACAGCTAGGGACAGAACCACGCCTGAGAGAGGTTCGGCTGTGTGTGATTCCGTGGAAGGACTTTCTGGAATGTGGAGCTGTCTTGCCCCGTGAGTGGCCTGTGTGCCTTTCCCAGGCTGAGGAAGCTTCTTGGGAGGGGGTGAGGTCCCTGGGAGGCAGGGGCGCTGGGGGCAGTGGCCTCTGAGGCAGGGCCCTTGCCCAAGGGGCCCAGGAGGCTGTCGGGAGTGCCCATGGTGGAGAGCAGGTGTAGCCTGGAAGGGAGGATGGGCCCAGATAGTAGAGAGGAGGAGCCGCTGCGGACCTGGCCCTGGGGTGGGCCGGAGGGTGGGCGCTGCTGGCCGGGTGGAGTCCTCACTGGCTCCCTGCTTGCTTCCCAGGCCCTCTGAGATCCACACCCCTTCCCCCCATCCTGCTTCCTCTGCGCCCGCCTCTTAGCCTGTCTACTGTCCCCACCCCAGCTCCAGGCTGACTCTGGGTGGTCTCCCCTGGGTCACTGCCGGGCAGCTCTTCGTGGTCCTTTGGGCCTCAGCTTGTCTCATCTCCTCAGTCCCCTTAAACAGCTTGGGCCCCCCTGCTCTCTCGCACTCAGAATAGAGACACCTCGCAGAGGCAGTGCTGCTGGACGGTGGCATCTAGTGTCCCCAGTGGGGCCCTTTGCCGGGCAGTTGTACTTTTTTATGAGCAAATGGGGAGCCTATGAGGCAGAGACAGTGGCTGGCCCCATTTTATAGGTGAGAAAACTGAGGCACAGCAGGAATTCCACCTGGATGGGCTCTCTCGTTGGCCAGTACCCACTTTCCTTCCTTGCCGGCTTTGACATAGATCTGGCTGTCAGGGGCTCAGCTGGAAGCCCCAGCTCCACCCTGGGAGGGGGGATGGGCAGGCTGGAGCCAGGTAGAGCGGGCTCTGGAGCTCAGCCTGGCCGGCTGTCCCTCCACCTCCATTTTTCTCCTTCTCCCCAGGGAACTCAATGGCAACAACATCACCCGGATCCACAAGAACGACTTCGCGGGCCTCAAGCAGCTGCGGGTGCTGTGAGTAGGGGGCGCTGCCCGGCCGTGACCTCCCTCCTGCCTCCGCCCCGGGTGGTGGCCATGGGTGCCTCAGCAGGGCCCTGGCTGCAGGTTGCAGGGCTGCGGGCCTTCTGGCTGTGATCGGTCTTGGGGACACCCTGCGGGGGTGGAGCTGAGTCCTGACCTAGAGGGAGAAGTGGGCATGGCCGTGGGGCCCAGGCTGTCCTGCCCACTGTCAGCTGGGGGCCTGGGACCATCAGGAGGCCGTGAAGAGCATTTGGGTCTCTAGCTCTGGCTGCTGGAACTGAGTCCGCAGAGGGGTTCTAAGCAGCAGACATGTTTGCACACAGTTCTGGAGGCTGGGAGTCCCAGAGCAGGGGCCCGGGAGGCCAGCGAGCCGTGATTGACAGCAGGGCTGGTGTCCAGTGAGGGCTCCTTCCTGTCTTGCAGACGGCTGGCCTCTCCTTTCCCGGGAGATTGGTGGTCTCTGTTCCCCTTCCTGCTGGGTTGGGGCCTCGCCCTCTGACCTCAGTGAACTTGACCTCCCTAGAGGCCCTGTCTCCAAATGCAGTCACCTTGGGAGCTGGGGCTGCAATGGGTTGCCGGGGACCTGAGTGGACACAGAGCAGTCCCACTGTTACCGGAACCTGTGCCTGGGAAGGCTCCCAGCAAGGGCACTCCCTGATTTGCGTGAGGGATGCTGAGTGCAGAGCTGGTGCCTCTCTGGTGCCCGGTTGTGGCCGGGGTGACGGGCACAGCTCTGTTTGGCTCAGTTGCTTGCTGCCAATGGAACCCCATGTGGCAGCAGCCTTGTCAGGGTGGGCAGGGGGGAGGAACCAGGGACCCCATCCCTGTTTGCTCTCGGGGTACACAGGCAGTCAGGGCTCAGCCCACGCGCTCGGGAGTGCTGTGTTTCTTTGCATTCTCCGCGTCTCTGAGCCCCGAGCTGCCTGGCTGGGAGGAAATCCAACATCAGAGAATCGCAGGATCCTTCACCCCTGCCCCCAGATTCTTTCAGAAGAGTGATACTGGCTCTGTGGTTTCGAGAGTCCTTGGAGGAGCTGGGACCTCGTGGCCAATTTCTCTGCGGTCAGAAAGGACGAGTTAGGCGCAGGCTGTGCTGCTCCAGAATCTGCTGACCTCTGACCCCTTCCAGGCTCCTGAGTCTCTTCTGATCTTCCGAGTCAGGGGGAGCTCCCTCGCTTGCTCTGTGTCTCCCTCCCGCCCCTCCCCTCTCTCCCTGGGCCTCCAGCAGAGAAATGTCTGGTGGCAGCTCTGTCCCCTGCCCCACACCCGCAGGGCCACCTAAGCCACCGGCTGGAGAGTGGCAGGGAGAAGACACAGGGAGAAAACCCTTCTTTGACAGCTCAAGGATGACCACGTGACAGTCACCCCCTGGTGGAAAGTGCTTCCCGCCCCCAGCCCCAGCTGGAGCTCGTGGGCAGGAGTGGCAAGGAGTCCCACAGAGCTGGGTGGTTGAGCTGCTGTGGGCACCCACTCTTTCCTACAGCAGATGGGGCCGTGCGGGGTGGGGGAGTGGGCAGAGCGTGCTCAGGCACGTGTGGGCCCTGCCCAGTCACAGGCTCCCCTCCCCTGATAGTGGCCACAGACAGGCCCCTGCACCAGCAGCCCAAGCCCTCCCTAGCCTGCCTTGGGAGCAGCGACCCCGTGGCAGGTGGCTGCAGAGGGGTCAGCGTGGGTGGGGCCCGAGGCCTGTCTTGCTGCCAGGGTGGGGGTGCTGAGGGACCTTTGGCAGAGAATGGGGAAGTTGCAGGATCATGAGCTAGGGGGTCCGCTCAGGCCAGGGTGTGGGTCTGTGTGAGCCCTGGGCATGGCTCTGTCTCTCTCCCTCGCCAGCGTTGCCTGGCAGTTTGCCCCGCCTCCTCCCTTGAGCCGGCTACTTCCAGGAGCCCTTGCCCAGTGCCCTGAAGCTGTCCTTGTCTCTCTGCTTCCCCAGGCAGCTGATGGAGAACCAGATCGGGGCCGTGGAGCGGGGGGCTTTTGATGACATGAAGGAGCTGGAGCGGCTGTGAGTACCCCTGGGGCCCAGGCTCAGCAGGCCGCTGGGACTGGCGCTGAGAGGGTGCTGGGAATGAGGCGGTGCTCAAGGGGCGTCCCCCTGCCCTGCCCAGCCCGGCCAGCTGCTGAGGGAGTTGCAGGCGTGGGGAGGTGACAGCAGAGAGGAACTGGGAGTATTCTCACCCGTGTCCATGCTGCTCTGTGTGCAGGGACCCAAGGCCTTGAGCCATCTCTGCTGCCTCCCAGGGAACACATCAGCAGGAAGCTGGAGCCAGGAGCCAGAGCTGGGTGTCAAATCCAGGAACTCCCCTATGGGCCATGGGCGTCTTAACTGCGAGGCCAGACACCCACCTTGAGCCACTGAGTGGGGTGCTGTGTATTTATTTTTAAAGATTTATTTATTTTATTTGAAAGGCAGAATTACAGGGGCAGAGAGAGAGAAAGAGAGAGAGAGACAGAGAGACAGAGACAGAGACAGAGAGAGAGGTCTTCCATCTGCTGGTTTATTTGCCAAATGGCTGTAATGGCTGGAGTTGAGCCAGTCTGAAGCCAGGAGCCAGGAGCTTCCTCTCGGTCTCTCACATGGGTGCAGGGGCCCAAGGACTTGGGCCATCTTCCTCTGCTTTCCCAGGCCACAGCAGAGAGCTGGATCAGAAGTGGAGCAGCCACTTGAACTGGTGCCCATATGGGATGCCGGCACTGCAGGTGACAACTTTACCCGCTGCGCCACAGCGCCAGCCCCTGTGTTGTTTTCTTTGTCTAAGCTCCACATGTATCTTTGGTTTATGACTTTTGGTTTTGGTTTTTTGGAAGTGGAGTGAGCTTTCTTGGAAGCAAGGGAGTGGAGAGTCCTGAATTCTTTACGCCAGTTCTCTCTGCCCTTAGTCTTCAGAGAGTGGCTTTCCTTTCAGTGGGTGAGTCTTTTCAAAGCATCCCACTTCGTCTTCACAGCAATGACTCTTCCTGCTAGTAGTCCATTCATTATGGGCTCCTTTAAAAATGATCATGTAATTGTAATGACAAATACCTCTGCCACCAAACAGGTTTGGAAATGGACAGACTTGGTTCTTATGAGCAGTTAAAAACTCGAGTGCAGAAAGAGAAGTGTGTGGCCCTGCAGGTGCCAGGGCAGCTGCTGGCCTGTGGCTGGGTGGGAGTAGCCTGGCTCCACCGTCCGTGAAGTCCCCAACCTAAGTGGAGGTCAGCATGGCCCTGTGGAGCCACTGGGGAGGGGTGAGGGAAAGACTGCCCCTCGGTGATGACCTGGGCGAGGCACTCAGCTCATCCCAGAGAGGGGCAGCCCAGCCCAGACAACAGACGTACCACGGGCACCTGTCAGGAGCCGAGCCGAGTGGCGGGCTGGTTGTGGTGAAACCTTCCCAGGGAGCTATGCGCATGGGTGCAAGGTGGTGGCATGGGCGAGAGAAGGAAGCCCGCCTTTTCCCTCTGCTGGAGGGATGAGGCCAGGAACTGTTTATCCCAGTGCCTGGCAGGGAGTCAGGGCCAGTAATGACTCCACTACTTTCATTAATATTTGGGTTCCCTGCATGTCCCTTTCCATGCTGGGTCCCTTTGGGGGCATTTGATTTTCCACTTTAAACTTGGCATCGAATTCCTCTTCCTCCTAAATGTCTTTCAGAAATTGAAGCCAGAAAAATAGGAAAGACTTTGGGGGAAGTGGAACAAAACCCAGTGGCTGCCTGGCAGAGTAAACACAGGGTAACTTGTGGGATTGAGGCTGAGGATCTTGGAGTCAGCTGATGTCCGCTCCTGTTGCTTTAAGGACTGTATTGGTGGCCTCTTTCCCCCAGGGTAGCTGTGAGCTTCCCTTTAGGGACAGGTCTTCCAGCTGGTCTGCTAGAGGTGCAGATCCAGGGTCTGTGCTAGGCTGGAGTGTGGTGGACCTCACCTTCTCACATGGCAGATGATGGGGGAGACCTTCGAGGAGGTAAGTACAGACCAGCTACTGCCAGCCACATAGAATTAGATTTCTTGCCTACTCCTTCCAAAGGAAAGCTTTTGCTGAGTTGGTGTATCATAGTGGGCTGAAGGACAGTTAAGGTAATCCTCTGTGTGTGGACTTGGGTGCAGGGGCTGCCTGACGTCCCAGTGCTCCTCAACCTTGACGTGCCCGCCAGTCGCTAGGGGCTCTGGTTGAACTGCGGTCTCTGAGTCAGCAGCCCGGGGCCGTGCCTGAGATGCTGCGCCTGTACCCACTCCCAGGCGGCAGCCCTGCTGGCGGTCCATGAACCCAGCTTCTGTACTTCCTGGGCATCACGTCCCTCCGTGGCTGAGCTGCTATGTAGTGGCGGCTCAAAAGCTATCATTGGGGTGGCCATTTAGCCTAGCAGTCAACATGCTTGTGTCCCACATCTGAATTCCTAGGCTCAGTTCCTGGCTCTGGCTCCTGATTCCAAAGTCCTGCTAACGTAGACCCTGGGAGGCAGCAGGTGATGAGTCAAGTAGTTGGGTTCTTGCCATCCTTATGGGAGATCTGGAGGGAATTCCTGGCCCAGCCTCAGCTGTTGGGGAGTGAATGAGAGCTCTGTCTCTCAGATAATATAATAACAATAATGAGGAAGTCCTTTTAATTTCCTGGATGTCTAAGTGATTTCCAACTCTGTCTTCTCCTCTTTAGTCGGCTGAACCGGAACCAGCTGCACACGCTCCCAGAACTGCTGTTCCAGAATAACCAGGCTCTGTCGCGACTGTGAGTGCCGCTCTGGGGGTGATGTCCCCTCCCTGTCTCACCCCTCACCCTGGGGGATGGGCAGTGTTTGTTCCATGGGGCTTGGCTTCCCCATGACCTTACCCACAGTGCTCCTTACCTGGCAGGAGTGATTCGGGGCCTCAAGGCCAGGCCTCCCTGTTGGAAGGTGCTGGGTCGGGCATTTCTCCATGGCCAGCACTTGGAAGAACCCACGGCTCCTCCAGTCGCAGGTGCAGCTGCTGACAGCAGCAGAGGTGTCTGGGCCTGGGCATGCTGCTGACGGGGAGGCCGGCCTCACCAGGCACTCTTCTTGCACGTTTCCCGCTGCCTGGGGTTGAATGTTGGTTCATTCAGCCAGGCCCTCCTTGAAGCTGTTTCTGTTTTCAGCTCGTTCCACCTGCAAGCGTAACGTGGTCTGTAAATTTATTAGCTGTGGTGCAGTGTCTTATTTTGATGTGCTGTCAGTGTCCATCTTTCTAGTTTGAAGGATCGGTGGGACCACTGCTCCATTGTGACAAGCCAGATGTGTCTGTCATTCCGCCATATGTTTCATTTTGGGGGATCTCGGGCTGGACAGGATCTTTGAGATCAGCTAAGGAATCTCTTCTGTGGCCCCTTAGTGAATGGTCCTGCAGTCTTTTGTTGACTGCCTCTAGGGACGGAGAGTTCACTACCTCACACAGTCAGTTTCATTCTTCGATCTGCATATTAGAGAATTTTGAGTTGGGAGATTTTTGAGTCCCGGCAGCTCTAATCTCCTCGCCCCATCCTTCCTCTCGGTTGGCTTTTGCTAGGATTATCACAGCACTTTCTACAAAAATTCAGTGCACCTTTTCCCTTGGGCTCATTTTGCACTGTTTGTGTCCTTCTCCCGAGTCCCACGAGCCTTTCTGACCTTTGCAGGATTTTCCTGCTTGGGGTCTGTCCCCTTGCAGCCATTGCTGATCCACTGGCCTCCACCCTCCAGGGTCCCGAGCAGGTGCATGTCGCACGGTTGCCACCGAGCTTGGACCCCTTGGTGCCTCCCAGCCCTTTGCCGGGGGTCTCTGCAGCCATGGGCACCTCTCGGGAGGATGTCTTCTTGCTGTGGGCTTCCAGGGGTTGGGTGGTTAACTTTCCTTACCTGTTCACCGTGGGGGCTGTCAGATTGTGCCCGTAGCACCTCCAAGCCTGTGGGAGGCCTGGCATGGGTGTTGATTGTGTCCCTGGTAGCTCCGGGTGAGCACCTGGTCCCCTGAAGGGACATGGTGCTCTGGGTTCAGCCTCTTGTCCATCACCGCACGGCCCTGTGAGGCAGGCCGGGTCAGGCACTTCACTGCCTTCGAGGGTCCAGCCTGGAAAGGCAACCTGACTTCCTCCCAATGGATGCGAGGGCCCGTTTGGGTGCTGGCTCGTGTCCTTCCCGGTTTCCTGTTTCCGCAGAAGCCCTACGGAAAAGGAGTTCCGGGCTCTAACGGATATTAAAGCAGCAGATTCTGGAGCAAAGGGCTGGCACGGGGAAGCCCAGGCAAGGGCTGAGATGCCGTGGCAGAAGACGGGGGTCTGTGGGCCACCTGCTCTTGGTGCCCTCTGGAAACCTTGGGGAATCTCCGGCTGCTCTGGGGAGAGGCCGGCTGACAGGGGGACGTGTAGGGGAAGGGTCCGCCCAGGGGAAGGCATGGCGGACCTTGGAGAATATGTGCAGGCCCCGCAGCCAGAGCCAATTTCTACACATCCAGTGCTTGCTTTCCGGGCACTGGCTCCCTTCCTTCTGGCAGGAGACATTTCTTCTGCAGGTTGTGGCTTCCTGGGGGAAGGGACACTGTTTCCTTTAGCTCTCCGCTTGACATTTTCTTGATCTCCTCTGTAAGCAAGGTGTGCACACCGGAGGCCTCTGGGGAGGACTCCCGTGCAGGATGCCCGGCCTGTCTCAGCCCAGGGTTGGCTTCGCAGATGAGGTCAGTGCATCCTGGACCTCCCCCCCCACCCCGCCCCAGGGCAGGCTGTCTCAGAGAGGGCGCTCGTGGGAGACTTGGTTAAACAAACTGCTTATTACTCTGGTTCTCTCTGGCATCAGGGCTCACGGAGTTGTCCACTGGGAGGGTTCTGGGGAAGGGAATGAGGGCACGTGTGTGAAGATTCATTGGCTGAAGCTCCTGGCCCCCTCCCCGGCCCTGTGCTAGTGACCCAGCACTTGCCGTCGCCTGGGTGGGCTGACTCAGGTGTGCTTGGGTGAGCTTGCTTCCAGAAACAGAACCTGTGTAGGCTGGTGGGGTGGGGTGTCTCGAGGGCACAGCCAACAGCTTGTGTGGTCTCTGGGACAGGCTCTGAGGAACAGCGAGCCCTCACATGGGAGAGATGTTTCTAGTTCTTTCAGGATGTCCAACTGTCCCGCTCCTTCCTGCAAACCAGGATCCTGGGCTTACTGACAATGTCTTGGTGATGAATGATTTGTGTCAGCCATGGTTCTGGCTCCTTTTCTGCTTCCTGCGTCTTTGGAGCTCAGACCCTCGGCATGTGCTGGGTCCAAATTCCAGATTTCTGGGAGAAAGAATCTGCTGGGTCAGGCAGTCACCCCTGGGCTGGGAGCTGGCCGGGGCTGTGGGGTCAGCTGGTGCAGAGACACTGTAGAGCCAGTCCCCTGGAAGGCGGTAACACGAGGAGGCAAGAACTAGCCTTGTTGGTCTCCCACCTATTGACTGACACCCCTCCCCCCCTTTGCCTCAGAGGGCTCTGTTACTAATCTTTTCCATCTGGAGCAAATTCTAGACATTCATGGGGGGCCATTATGCCAAATCAGTATGAAGATGGGTTTGAAGGAGGCAAAATGCGCCAGGTCAGCTGTGGTCACAGGCACGTAGGTGGTGCATTTGGTGTGTGTGGCTTCTGGAAGGTGAAGTCCTGCTACTGGTATTCCTCACGCAGACAGGTGCAGCTGTCTCTCACGTCAGGTGTGACATTCAGGAAATATCAGGTGAGTCCTCCCGACTCCTGGAGGCGGCACCACAGTCCCAGACTGACCCCACACGGGGGCAGTTGTGCAGCGTTGGTCTCGGCTCCCCATCCCTGCCACCACTCGGCCTCACCGCCCGCCCGAGGGGGTCCCTGTGCCTGACAGGACCTCCCACCAACAGGTGACTTTCTTTTGCCAGCAGTCAGGGGAGAGCAACCAGTGGGGCAGGTGGGTGGTAGTGTCCCTGGTTTCAGGGGCGTCCTCTCCTTCCTCAGGCTGCCCCCCATTGAGGTGGCCTGAGTTCCTGCCAAGTACACCCCACTTTGTGTCTGGAGTTGGTGGGAGCCCACGTGTCCCCTTGCCGCCTCCACCTCCCAGAGCCATGCTGTGGTCCTTGCGGCCGTCGGGCTGAACACGAAGAGATTCTGTGCCAGGCTCCTGCCCGACGGCTGGCATACAGCAGCTGAGCGCCTGTGAGGTCAGCAGTCCCCCCTTAACAGATGAAGAAGTGCAAGCCCGGGGCTGTGGCGACAGGCCCTGACCATCCACCCTCCCCTTCACCCACCAACACCCATCTGCCCGCTCATCTGCCCACCCACCTCCCTCCTGCCACCCATTTCTGTTCTACATATCTGCCTCCCAGCTCCTGCCCTCCAAACCCTGGGGCAGTCTCCTCAGCCACTGCTTGCCCATCCCTCTGCCCCTCCACCCTCATACCTGCCCACCCCTCCTCCTTACCCACCTGCCAAACCACCTCTAAACCCCCAGACACACTTCCACCCCTCAACTCCTCACACTGGCCAACCCCTCCCCTCCACTCCTCTCCTCCCAGTCACTCCCCCTCCCCTTCCGTCCATACCACACCCACCCACGAATCCAGCAGATCCTGGGCCTCCTGTGAGGGCCAGGCTGGTGGACAGGTGTGGTCGTGTCCCTCAGGGAGGTGACAGTCTTGCGGGCAGCCCGCCCCTCCTCCCAGCAGATGTACTCTGATGGCAGGTGGGGGTGACGGTACTGTGATGGCAGGTCACCTGACTGTCCACCCCAGAGGAGGCGGAGGTGTTGAGTACGGGGCTGGAGGCAGGGGTAACGTTCTGGGTTAGAGGGGCGTGCGTGGACCCTGACTGCTGTTTTCAGAGCACAAGCCCCAGTCTGCACTCATGCTCAGGCAGGGAGCAGGTGGGCGAGCCCCCTCCCTGCCCGCCAGCTCTGTCCTCCCAGGCTGGAGGAGGGGCCGCGAAGCTCTCACACTGTCCTCTTCCTCATCCAGAAATGCTCTGGACACCCAGGTCCTCTGGGCCTCCTTTTAGCCTTGGCACCATTGTGTGTCCTGACAAGCCGGCCCTCTGCGGCTCTGCTGGGCCGGAAAGGCGGGGCGGGGCTGGAGACCACGAGCGCTCGCTGTGGGATTCTGCAGGAGCCGTGGGGAAGAGTGCCTGACCCTGCCAACCCTGGCTGGGCTGGCGGTAATTAAACTGTCAGCACAGCCGGGGGAACAAAGCTGCCCTTCTCGGCAGCCCAGCCCCCAGCCCGAGGCCAGAGGCATCGTCTGCTGGACCGAGAGCAGTTAAAAATGGGCTTCCTGGCCTCCCAGAGAAATTCCACGAAGCAGGAAGGTGACCTCGCCGTGGTGACACCGTCCAGCCGGGCAGCAGAGCCACGGAGCTGAGCCGGTCGGGCTCCAAATATGCTGGCACATGAGCGATGGGGCGCCTGCCGCCCTCCCCTGCCCAGGGCCTTCTTTCTGCCAGGAACGCGGGGGGCTGCTGTCCAACTTCCCCTTTTCCAGGAAGGAGCATCAGGAGCTTTGTCTGTGAGCTGTCCTGGCATTGATGATAACGTGGCTGGGGCAGCGCTGGGTGGAGCAGAGTCCACTGGAGGGAACTTCGTCTGCACTCCTGCGCGTTCTCAGGGCCCTGGCGAGACGTAGGGTGTTGCAGCTGCCAGGCTTATTCGACTGTGAACCTCCTGGGAAATGTTCTTCAAGGTGATCGTCTGGCCTAGAAGTTGACACCTGTGCCCCGTAGCAGGGTGCCTGGGTTTGGCACCCACTCCAGCGCCCGATTCC